TTTATTCCTTTTTTCTTTGTTTTGAGACAGGCTCTCATGTAGCCCAAGGTGGCCTGAAACTACCCTGAGTATGAGCCTGAACTTCTGACTACCTCCCTAATGCTGGGCCATCATGCCATGTTCATACAGTATTGGAGATCAAACCTAGGACCTCATGCATGTTAAGAAAGTACTCTACCACCTGAGCTACATTCCCAGCTCTGAATCTGAATTTTTAAGCCAACAAGTATATATAAAGTTTACTACTAGAAAAATAATTTCCATTTTGATTTAAGTATCAGCAACTTGCTTACTCACTGCCCTGGACTAGTATCCCAACGTGGCATGGTCAAAGTGTTTTGTCCCATTTCTCAAGAAAATGCCTAGTGTGAGTTTGATTGATCAAATGTCTCCAAATAAACACTCAAAATCACAACTGTCCTATTTTCAGGGAATGTCACATTTCCAGCGCTCTACAGAATGCACTGCAGAAGTTGACATGGCTTCTCCCTCACTTTTATGGACAAGCATGCACCACCTATGTTTAGGTCCTCCAACTTTCCCATCCTGTGGCTGGGTTCCAAAGCATTGCTTTAGCAACTACAGGAAATGCAACCTTAAACCACCTGGAAAACACTGCCACCTCCTGGCTCTGAAGACAAATTTCACCAAATGAAACCACACTACATTTTCCACACCAGACGGATTCAAATCGAAAGGCCACAATAAACATTGTCATTAAAAATAAAGCAAAATAATCTCAGAAGCCAATGGAGAGTCAAAAAGTTAAAACTACATACATCCATCTCCATAGAAAAGAAGAATCTTGCTACTCTAAGTGGTTTGAGTTGCAGCTGTGGATACTGGAGGAGCCTTGAACGCTTGAATCATAAAATTAGCACCCATGATTTGAGAAATGGCAAAAGCAGGGGAAAACTGGTAATTACAGTCCAATTTACAGACACCACATAAGCCCACTCATGTTTTGCCCAGATATCTGTCTTTTCTAACAGGAAGACACAGTAACT